CTTTCAATTTAGAAGTTTTCCATATTGTTTTTGGGCTTTAAGTTTAATTTGTGGTTATTAAATGGTGAAATAAATCAAAATATATATTTCTTAATGAAGCCGCTATGAAATTTCATTTTTATGTGAAATATATGGTCGGCATATTTTTTTTTTTATAAATGAATTTAATTATTTACATAATCATCAAAAATGATTTTATATTATTCTAAAAACATGTATAGTAGTTAGTTTCCCAAAAATACAAAAGTTTCTTAATCATCATTTACTATTTAATTCCTATTTTAAATAATATACATTAAAAAAAATTAAAAAAATACGTTTTCAAATAAATATTATAATAAAATTTACTTTATATATGTTTTTATCATAAAAGTTAATTTGACAGCTTCAAAAGACTTCAATTTTTAATTTTTATTTTCACTGGGTAAAACCATTCATCATTTTGACTTTGACTTCTATCTATTTTGCTAATCAAAAGATCATACTACCATATCATTTAACCCTATTCTCCTTTTGTTGTCTTTGTGTTTGAGAATAGACCCCCATCAAACCACCTACAATAACCCCATTCTTTATAACTTATCCCAAAAAAGACCATACGGCCCTTTTCCTCTATTTTTACACCAAATCTATTTTTACACCTAGTCTTCCATATAGTAATCTTTATTTTTTTTCCATCACAAATACATCTAATTAATAAAAAGATTGCAATGAAGTGAAAGTAATATGTTTGTGTTATGATCTAGATGCATCTAATAATAAATGGTTATACAAATATACCAAGTTTTAATACTAATATAAATGGAAGTTTTAATTTAAATTTTAAAAAAAAAATGACCCCTCTGAATTGTATTGATGCTCCTAGTAAATGTCCTTCCAAGCTTGTTAGGTGTCTTGCCTTCTTTTTTATAATTAGTCTGTCTTTTTTAAACACCTTGTAATGTGGGGATGTCACCAAGTAAAGATGCACATAATACATTTTCCAAATCATATAGTCACCATAGTGGATGCGACATCACCTTTCAAGTTGATCAAACACTTTTTCTTGATCTTGACATCAAGACCAGAAACCATTATATTATAAGCAACCAATATATTGCAAAAATTACATTAGAAACCAATATACAAAGAGTCTAACTCTTTAAAAATGACATTAGAAACCATAATAAGTGTTAGGCGTGTCAAACCCAACAAATAAAGGGGTACGATATACTCCAAAATAATCCCACTATATTGCACTAAAAGGTAGTACAAGGCAAGCAGGGTCGATCCACAGAGACACAGGACAATTGGTCTATACCTATTTGCACAAGGTACTATGGTCACCAATAGTAAAGAGAGGGGGTTAGAATGTAATGATTAAACAAACAATTAAAAACATAAGCAATCAACTAAATGCGTGAATTAAATTCAGAATTTGTAAGGACTCCAACCCCATGTATGACAATTTAGCAATGTGACTCAAAGATGACACAATATTCGTTCAATTCTATCTAAGTTGGTACTTGAAAGTGCTAATAAGCTCTAACACTTCCCATTCACCATATTAATTAACCAAAACAAGCTCTTTGATTAATCCTAACCTTATTAACCTAATCTAAACAAGCTCTTAGGATTAGATTATAAGATTGCATGAAGCTTTATGTGAATGTTCCCAACAACACCCAATACTCCTCATAAGCTCGGGAGTGTAAAAGTGTATGAATAAGATTTACACTAAATTCATTCAATAGAGATCAATTTAATGTTTCTTACTTGTTCAATTTCACAAAACAATTACAGATTTTGTAAAAGAGATAACTTGAATGACCTAACCCTAATTCAAATGGCCAAAAAGAATCATAATTACAATCAAACATTCGATTGAAGCAAAATCAAATTCATTAGATAGAAATTAAGAACAGATATCATGTCATATGAATGAAGTCATTACCAAGAAGTCAAAACATGAAATTGGAGAAATTAGGGTTCTAGCCACACATGGCTAGAACAAGATCACAAGTCTAAAAGATGAAATTAAGTGTAATTACAACTTACAAAAACAAGAATTAATGTTTCCAAATGATTAACGGACAAACCCTTGCAAAAAGCTTCGAATTCTTCTCTCCAATGGTGCTCTGATATGTTCTCTCCCTTCTAAAAATGACCCTTAACCCGTCATATGAAAGATAGGAAAAACTGCCAAAAGTTGGTTTCTGGGTCGAACACGGCCCGTGTTCGAATAGGCTAGAATGACACGGGTCGTGTTCAGCAACACGCCCCGTGTTGATTCGCATTAAACTGACACGGATCGTGTTCAGCATGGTCAACAGCTCCTATTTTGGTCAAACACGCCCCGTGCTCACTTTTCAGTGTAAATTCAACACGCCCCGTGTACCTCTCTGACTCCAATTCCAAACTTGATTTTTCCAACTTTTTCGTTCTACGCCCGATCGTCCCGAAATCTTCACCAATGCTTCCCGACACTTCCCAAAGCGCGTTCCAACCTCCAGTTTACCTG